ATGGAGAATGTATCCTTGGGGGCAAAACCTGAAACCCAGACTGGGCCACTACGGTGGTGTTAAGGTTTGTGCTTGTGGTTGTGTAAGTAATTCATCAGAGGATGAATTACTTGCTGATGCCTGTAATACGAAATTTTCAGTTTATATTCCTTTCAGATAAAGGATGTGAGGTTCCGACTGTTGTGTTGGAACTGAATGTCTATATTTATTTATTTGCTTATTCATTCATTTATTTACTCATTCATTTATTTACTTGTTTATAAAGTTTTTTCAAAATACATCATATTGGGTCTTTCGCTCACGTTTTATTTGTTTTATAAATATTAAGCCCCTCCCAGGCGACTCTAGAAGCAGTGCGGAGTAGCTGAGTTAGATTGCTACCATCCGATTAAGAGAGGATTGTGTTCTTCCTCCTTGTGAGCAAATGTAAGAATTGTTAACTCTGAATTTTGAATTTCTAGACTGTGGTTGATGTCTGTAATGTTATTTACATGTTCATGTATGTACAATACTATATATCCTGTGTGTGAAGCCATGAATGATGTTAGAGGTTCAAGTTTTAACCTCTTGTGATCAGAAAGTGGGGAAGACCCCGTAACTTTCTTGTAATTTATTTTCAATTAAATGTGGGGCTCGTTTAAAAATTTTCTTTAATATTTTTCTGTTGATTTTGATTATTATGATTATAAATATTTAATTACTCTCTTAATCCCGTTTAACTCCTAAACGAGCATGCACGTCACTAACCCCGGCTTCGGGGCGTGACAATGTATAAAGTACTTATTAATGAATTCAATGTCATTTCTGAACTACCAAAATTATTAATGTCCATATTGTTAAAAAAAAGGATGTCCTTTCACATAAATTATAACCCGTTTTATTAACGACATGTCATTTTACATATTTTTTGGTCGTTTACACTTACAATACATTTGCTTATGATTTCAATGTCATATTTTACAAATTTTATTTTTGTGGTTAGGTTTAAAGCACACGGTGCTTATGCTTTCAGTGTCGTTTCTGAAGCAAACAACATGATTTTTAGCATGAAGTGACATGTTTTTTTTTTTACCTTTCATCGCTTGGAATGACATCTGGTGAAAATAGTTGTTTTTAACCATACGACTACGGCTGGCGTAGCGACATAACTCAAAATTTACATGAAATTAGCAGGTTTAGATTTATTATAAATGGGTTTAGGTCATGATCGGATTGACACGATTAATGAATGGGTTATGTTAGGATTGACCTCCTAACACGAAGTGACATGAATTAACACAATTTACTATATATGTCATCTGCAATCTAATGATATGTAATATAATATGAAAGTTTATATGAAATATTAAATACAAATAATGTGAATTTTAATATTTGTAGCTAAAATTCATTTATTTTTTTAAAGAAAAGATAAATTGACTAATAAATATGTTAAATTTATCTTGACCATGTTAAATAAGTCATTACTATATTAGTTATTTATTCAATATATTAATTTAAACGAATTATACGGGTTAACAAGATTAACACGATTAATAAATGAGTCGTGTTTAGATTGACATTTTTGACACGTTTAATAAACATATCGTGTTTAGATTGATATTTTCTAACACAATTAATAAACGGATTGATACGAACACGACTTATTAACAATTGCCACCTCACATACGAGGTCTTATTATAGCCTTTTGCCTAAGGCCCATAACCTCGTTTTATAAAGTCATTTACTACTCTCAGTCTCTACATGGCTCAGTCTCTACATGGCTCATCCTTGCATTTCTAACTTTGCAAATTAAACAAAAATACTGCAAATGGAAAAGGTAAAAAAAAATGAACATGTTTTTCGATCGTGTTGAATCAAGTATTTGTAATGACCGGCCGTCCTACCGTATACAACAAGATAATGCATAGGATTTTTTTCCCCTATTTTTTCTTTGTTTTTTATTTTTCCTCTGAAAAGGAACATAAATGCCGCTCTCTAAGCATTTTCTTGAAACTCAAAGAGAATGTTTATTTTTTATATTTATTTTTAATTTTAAATCATGATTTATAATTATTTATTTATTTTTTTCACAAAAAATACACATAAAATATAAGAAAAGATAATTAGTTAATCCAATGTTGACCAATACTTGATGATGTCAACAATAATTGATCGAACAAATTGAGAACTTTCGTCATTCTCAACATTTTAGACCGTTGGAAGCTTCCCGGTTGGGCCTTTCCTATTAATGTTTGGCATTTGCCACAATGGTTCCTTTCAAAAGCTGCCACGAGTTAGTACTAATTAAATAAATGAGATAATTACTAACTAGACCTCTAAGTTTGGGCGGCTCAAGGCTCGCCGCTATTGGCCGAGCCGGACCTGAGGTTTTAATCTCCAAAAAAACTTATTTAGGTTGGCCAGATGGTTTGAATTCGAGTGAATATTATTATTGTATTTTGATAGTTTGAAATAAATTATTTTTTTTATCAAAAAATAAAAAAATAAACAACTGGTTTTGGTCAAATTACTTAGGCTGCTCGGAAGAACATACTTAATAGTATTACACAGTGTGATATAGATCTCTTGTTATATGATGAGAGCGCTTTCACTATCTCTCAACTTTCAAGCATGGATTCCCACTTGCCCTTAAATGCTCAAATGAACGCAAACACGCAAACATGTAGATACCAATGAGTTGTGTGGTCCATTTGTTTGGTGGGTTCACATGGTCCTTATTTTAACCTCATCTCCTAGTCCTTGTGATCGTTTGTGGATTCAGAAAGTCTATTCGAACCTAATATTCGTGTTAAAGACAATTATTTTTATGTCCACTTGAATTGTTGACTTCCTAAATCATATTAAAATGAAGACAATAAAATATAACCAAAATAATCCTCCTCTTCCTAATTAGCATTAAAATTTATCTTATGCTTAACAAAAACAATATATATTTTGATAGAAATTGGAATTTTTTTTATTTTTTTCACCAATTCTAGAAGTCTCCCCCATCATCCTAACACTTCCTATTTTTTTATTATTGAAAACTTCCTAGTGCATACTTGGCTTTCATAAATCATCAATGGAGTATAGGTGCAAACATGTTTAAAATAAATAATAAAAGATTTCCGTAATTCATTCTAGTGGTTAAACCGCCTAGTTATTGCTAGATCATCATAGCACACTCGTTTAAACTACCTAGCTAATTGAAAAACATATATATATCTTTTTTGTTAATAAGTAATAGCTAATTGGAAATAGTTACCATGCAGTTTGGATATGCGATTTTTCTAAGGACAAATCACACTTGTGCCCTTAAATTATTGGCGTTTTGCAAAAATTTCTTCTAAAGTTTAAAAATAGTAAATTTTCTCCCTGAACAATTCGTCATTAATATGCCTCCCCCTTATCCGTCCCCTCTGTTAAATTTTGAACGTTAAGTGTCACGTGACTCTCATTGCAGGGGGCAAATAAGTAATTTAGGCCAAATCCTGAAATTCATTCCATAATACCCAAAATCCTCTCATCGTCTCCGGCACCGGCGAAGATGATCCCGCTGAAGCTCCAACCCCGCTCCTTTTGTCCCTACATCTTCTGCTCAATCAGCGATCCTTCCTTCTCCTCCACCCCCTCCTTCAACAATTTCTCCTCCGATCCAAACCCTAACCCCTCTGATGTCGGCCCTTCTTCCTGCAGATCCCTCTACAACAACACTTCTCGCTTCTCTCCGGTCACCTCCTTCTTCGCTCATGACTCCCGCATCGCTGTCGCTCTCCTCCCATGTGCCGCCTTCCTTCTTGACCTCGGTGGCACCCTCGTCGTCGCCACTCTCACCGTGGGCCTCATGATCTCCTACATCCTCGACTCCCTCAACTTCAAGTCCGGCGCCTTCGCTGGGGTCTGGCTTTGTCTCCTCTTCACCCAGATCACCTTCTTCTTCTCTTCCTTCTCTTTCTTCTCTTCCTTCTCTTCTCTCTCCTCCTCCTTCAACGCCCTCCCTCTCTCCTTCCTCGCCGCCATTTCCGCTGTCAGCTTCTCCGCCGCCTCATCCTACTACCTCACGGCCTTCAATTGCCTCTTCTACTGGCTCTACTCCATCCCCAGACTTTCCTCCTTCAAGACCAACCACGCACAAGCCAAGTTCCATGGCGGCCAGGCTCCTACGAAATACACAGGGCACCTGAGAAGGGAATGACTATATGAGCAAAATTGTCATTTCATATTACATTAGAAATTAAATACCTCAATGACTAATATGTCACACTTAACGTTTAAAATTTAAAAGAGATGGCGGATAAGGGGAACGCGTGCTAACGATGAATTATTCAAGGAAAAATTTACTATTTTTAAACTTTAAGAGAAATTTTTACAAAACGCTAATAGTTTAAAGGACACAAGTGTAATTTGTCTTCTTTCTAAATAAAAATTAGATAATTTATCGCGTTTATCATGTTTTGTGCAAATCTATCATTTTTATCATTTTAAACAATTAAATATTATTATAACTTTTTATTTTCTTTTAATAATTTAGTAATAATTATTTATTTTTAAATAAAATGATACGATCTTGAGTGTATTTCTCATTTTTTCGATGTTTGCTTCAACATCCACAGTTCTACACTAGTAAGTTAAACTTAAGAAGCAGCGAAAAGCATAACAACAGAAAGCGGATGAAAATGTTAGCATAAACTTTACGAGAGTTTGACGACGTCAAACTAATCTTTTGCTACAGTTTGAAGCCAGTATAGAACCGAAAGGCAAATTAGACCAACCAATCAGGCCTTTTGATTCTTAGCATAAAAAATTCCTTCATAGCTTTTTTATTTAATTTTTTAATTAATTTGTTCATCTAACTTTTAGTTCCAGGAATTAAGAACTTGAGGAGTTGGCATCCTTTGCTGTTTATTGTTCTAGAATCCAAAGAAGATGAGATAAGGGGAAAATGAAGAGAATTTTGTAATAGGATTAAAATAAATAAATAAATAGTACAGTTTTAACCATCTCACATAAGAAGACTAGAAGTTCTTCCCATGAATAAAGTAAATTTTTATATTCCCCAACAAAATTCTCAAAAAAAATAAAGAAGTAAATAAAAAGTGAAGAAGACGAAGCTATTCTAGCTATGCCCAACATTTCTCATTGAATTAAAAAAAAAAAAAAAAAAATCCATGAGTTGGACAAAGTTGAAGTATTTACAACCACAGAAAACCAAAAGATTTCCCTTTTCCCCCAACTGAAAACCAGGAAAAATAAAAATAAAAAAAGTACAAAAGAAAAAAAAATTTCCAAGGAAAATCAAGAATTTTCCAGGCCAACGATGATCAATAGGAACACTCAATCCTTTGCACGCGATCCTTGAGAATTCCTCTGTAGAGAGCAGCTCGATTCGCAGGCATTCCTTGGATTCCCGGAATCTCGTCTCTGCAGTATTCGCTTTCCATTCTGCTTCTCTTCTTCTTGTATTGATTCCTGAATTCCTCCC